AAAAAAAAAAAAAAAAAGTATGCTGGCATGGAGTAGTGAAAAACTGGGAACAATGTTATCTACCACCGTTATTCACCTGGAACTTTCCAGCTCACTGTAATGAGAGACATTTCTTTGCAAGGTCGCTGAGAAACAGACATGACCCAGTAGGTGAGATCTGTCCCTAAGTACAGAAATCAGCCTTTGTCCCTGCATGCTCCTTAACATGCCATGTTTGTTATGGAAATGCAGTACTATTGATTATTAATTCCTTACAAATATCAAAGTAGGCAATGGTTTCCACAAATGACAGGTTTTTTGACAAGAAACAGAAGCTAAAAATACCGCGTTAGAAAGGGTGATATGTTTGCAGTGAAACATTTTTGTATATTAAAGGTTGAAGGTTACCGAAGCTTTATAGATTCTTTAGGGCAAAAGAATGTCACCACGTTTTAGAACTCAGAAATCCACAAAACGTCGCCAGTGGTAAGAAGATCTTCGACTAACCATTATGAGTCCAGACTTCCCATGTTTAGGAGTTAAAATTTGTTTTTTAAGCTAGGAAAGGAAGAATCACCCCCAGGTGAATAAACAATAACAGTAGTAGAAAATAAAGAGATCATTACATCCTTAGATTCTTAAATCTTAAATCTTAAATCAGACCCTCCTGCGGTTTTCTGACATTTGAACCCTACTCTAGTGTTATTTCTATGGTTCCCACGTTCCTTTCACGAACAGCTACCACTTTTATTCCTTAGGATTTCTCTTCACTCAAGACTGGCTGTGGAGCAGTAATAAAAGGGTAAGGCTGTAGCCCATCCATGAACCTGGCGGATAGTGCGCGTGGGGTCAGGCCCGTTGCAGCAAGGCTGCAGGTGCCCGAGAAGGGAGCACCAGGACAGTCCCCGCGCGCACCGGGACGGTCAGTGCTCTTTGTTAAAGAAACAAACACAAGAAAACGCGGCGGCGGGGAATGATGGTGATGAGGGAAGCGAATGAGGCGTCTGAATGCATAAATGCGCCTGAGAAAGCCCATTAATGAGGCTCTCCGAACGCCGGGCAACCTAGGGCACCGTGTCATTGGCTTTTGTGCACTTGGAGGCGCGTGAGAGTGCCCTGTTCAGAGGTTCCCCTTTGTGTGAAAGTGTGGAAAGCAGAAGCGTGCGGCTACTGCTGGGTTTTCGTTTTCGAATTCTCAGGCACTTGTCCCCCAGTCAACTCCCTCACCAATAAACTCCCTCCTCGCATCAACAATACTCGGACTTGAGTTACTTCTCCGTGCGGGCCGAGCGAGGAGCGACAATGGCTTGGTGCGGGCACCAGCAGCTCCCGGGGCAGCGCCGAAGGGCCGCCGCGCTCCGCAGCTGCGCGCTGGGCCCCGCCGCCAGACCGCCAGCCAGCGCCGGCACCAACCGCCGCGCCGCGGGGCCGTTGGGCGGGTGGTAATTTCTGGGAACCGGGCGGGGTCCGCGGGTGTACTAGGCCGGCGTTTGCGAGCGGGAGGAGGAGCGGGCGGCGCCGAGGGGCGCGAGGCTGGCGGGGCGGTGCGCCACGTGCGTCACCGGCCGGGGCGGGGCGGCGTCGCGCTCCTGCCCGCCCGCACCCCCGCCTTTCACTTAGCCCAGGCGGAGGAGTGGGGACAAGACCGAGCTAGGCTAGAGTTTTGCAACCTTTCGCTCCTCAGTAACTGTCTGAGTGCCCGAGAGTGGGGCCGTTCCCTGAGCACAAGGGCGAGAGGCCTGAGTTAGCGATGGGGTGGCAGCCAGGGTCTGTGGGGAGGGGAGGGCTTCAGAGGGTGGCGAGGGTGTGCGTGCGGTCCTGGCCGGCTGGGAGAAGCGGGCGGACGCTGCAGGTGCACGCGCGGCCCCGCAGTCCCCACACGCCCGCCCCGTGCGGCGGAGCTCCCCGCACCAGTCCATGGCTGGAGAGCGGGATGGGGTAACCCCGACTAAGAAGCCGGACGAGTGGAGAGCGCCTTTACCTGAGCAGGCGGGTCTGGGAGAAGTTGGGCGATAAGGGGAGGGCGGGATTCGAGAGAGCAACAGAGGCAGGTTCGGCCGGCTGATGGGGGCCGAGGGCGGCGGGGCCCCGCGGCGTATAAATAGCCGGCCCCAGTTTGACAGGCGCTGCGGTGACTGGCGGTGCCTCCCCCCCCTGCCGCGTGGGGAGGGGAGGAGCGCTCCGAGCGGGCGGGGAGGGGGAGGCGGACTCGAGTGTCCTGGTGGCGGCGGCAGGAGGCCGAGGGGGAGGAGCCGAGGCGAGGGGTGGAGGGAGGAGGCCGGGAGCGGGGCGGGGGCCACCATTGCTCCCCGCGCCGAGCTCGGTGTCGCCGCCGTCTTCTCGGCGGTTGGGGGTCGGTGGGGCGGCGCGGGCTGGGGGCGCTGCGCGGGGCGGCGCGCCTCTGTTTTGTCTCCTCCTCTCCCTGTGGAGCGGCTGGGGCTGCGGGGGAGGCCCCGGCTGCCTCTGGACGCCTGGCCAACCGCGACAGCGGCGGCTAGTCCGCGGCCCTGCTGGGAGGGAAAAGGGTGCCGCGGTCTTCCCAGGCGACGGGGAGAGCAGGTAAGAGCGCGGGCAGGCGAGGCTGGAGGGGGGGGAGCGCGGAGGGCGCGGCGATAAAGCCTTGCTGTCCCGAGTGCCGCCTCCTCCCTCCGCGCCCCCGCCCCGCGCTTGTGTTGTTTGCTCCGGGGTTTGCGGAGGGGTTTTCCGAAAGCTGTAGCGTTGACACGGGACAGGGGCGGGGGGACCGGGAGCTGAGTGCCCTCGGGCAACGGTCGGAGAGCGGGACTTGGAGAAAGGGGACGGCGCGCTGCCCGCCCGCCGGCTGCGAGCGCGGGGCGCAGGGCAGGGCTGGGGAAGAGGTTACGGACCCCGATGGGGGGGATGGGCCGAGCGCAGCTGGTCTCGCTGTGTTTACATCTCTGCGCTAGTCACCTCTGCCGAGAAGCGGACTGAACTCACCCGCCTCATCCCGCGGGGAGGCCAGGGCGGGGGTCCGGCTCGGCTCCGGAGGAAACGCGTCCTGGGAGGGTCTGTGTTGGGCGGGAGTCTACGGCGGGCGCCGGGGCTGGGCGGCGAGCTCGGGGCGGGACCTAGGAGGCTCGGGCCGCTCCGGGTGGCGGAGCGGGGTGTGGGGGGGTGGCTGGACACCAGTTTCCTTCGCAGTCAGGCCTTATCTCCGCCGCTTACCTTTCCTTCCCCCTGCTGCTAGCTTGCACGACAGGTTGAACTCGGCCGTCCTTTTATTCTTGCTCTCCATGCCGGGCCCTTACTGCCGCCTCCCCTATTCCCAGAGGGGTAGGGAGGCTTGGCTCTGATCGGAATCTGTTTTTTAAACAAAACAAAAACAGGCTCAGTAACACGCACGTCCAGTAACTGCCTTCTGGATCTTTTCTTGCGAAGCTGGCCCTAAGGGACCGCGCTCCTGGATGTTCTAGGGGCGCGGGAGGAGGACAGTGAGGGGCTCTGCCACGGCCGGGTGCTGAGTTTGATCCAGCAGCTTTGTGAGCAGGGCGGCCGAGCCCCCTCTCTTGCTCTGGTTGGGCATTTTTATTCCGTGTCAATAAAGGAAGGAGAAAATACTCCATAACCCCAAGAGTAATCTAGATTGTACGGTGTTGCTCTTGTGCCAGCATCCTGGGCTCCCTTTTCTAGGAGCCAGATTCACTGCAGAATAGCTTTTAAGTTCTTAATACTTAATTGTAAAACTGTAATATTTCCCACTTTCGTCTGTCCATGAACATTTACTTCAGCTGTATGGTTTAAATTTTAATCCGGCAATGAGAGAACAGTAATCGTGTGTTTGGTAATCAGATTTGCTTTTCTTTTTATCTGTAAGTCTCTATGTAGAGGTAAATTATACATCTTCTCTAGTGCCAGAATAGCAGAAAAATGTATGTTTTACTAAGGTAGGGTTGGATTTTGGTGCTTCAGAGTTTCTTCAAAAGGTAGAATGAGTTTATATAAGACCTATTGAATTATATTTAAAGGAATTTAGGAATAAAGTTTATATAGAAGAACAGTTTTCAGAATGCATTCATGAGTGTTGTTGGGATATCTAGTTAAATTTAAATGAGAAATTGGAATACTTTAGGCATTTAAAATTTGAATATTTAATGTCAACTATTTTGAAACTTAGTGATATAACTAATAACTTGGATTAATCATTGTTCCTGATTTCAGACATAAATATTCATTTATACAATAATTGACTTGTGTATGGTTGGAGAGAATTTGTAACTTTGGGATTTTTATAGTGTAAGTAAACAGATTGATAACTGTGGTAGGGCCTGCCATTATTAATATCTTTATCTACTCAGAGTTTGTATGTCTTTGTATGTGTGTGTGGGGGGCAGTAAACAGCTTTATTGTGGTATAGAGTGTCCGTAAAGTTCATGTGCAATTTAAAACAGCCAACTATTTATTAATACTCCATTGTAAAACTGTTGTAGTTGTACATAGTTGTACAATAGCCAACTATTTTAAATTGCACGTGAACTTTATAGAAACTCCTACATGCCATCAGTTTCAATTTGTAATTTGTTTTAAAGTGTATAGTTCAGTATTGGCGCCTGTGGCTCAAGCAGCTAAGGTGCCAGCCACATACACCTGAGCTGGTGGGTTCCAATCCAGCCCGGGCCTGCCAAACAACAATGACGACTGCAACCAAAAAATAGCCAGCGTTATGGCGGTTGCCTGTAGTCCCAGCTACTTGGGAGGCGGAGGCAGGAGAATCGCTTCAGCCCAGGAGTTGGAGGTTGCTGTGAGCAGAAATGCTATGGCATTCTACCCAGGGAGAGAGTTTGAGGCTCTGTTTCAAAAAAAAAAAAAAAGTGTGCAGTTCAATAGTTTTGGTTTTTTTTTTTTTTTTTAAGACAGAATTTTGTTCTGCTGCAGTAGTCATAACTCACTGCAACCTCAAACTCCAAGCAGTCCTCTTGGTTCATCCTTTAGAATAGCTGGAAGTATAGGCATAAGCTACCATGTCCAGCTAATTTATTTTATTTATTTATTTTTTGAGATAGCATCTCAAGCTGTCACCCTGGGTAGAGTGCCATGGCATCATAGCTCACAGCAACCTCCTCTGCTCAAGCAATCCACTTGCCTTAGTTTTTCTATTTCTAGTGGGGTGGGGTGATTCGCTTTTGCTCAGGCTGGTCTCAAACTGGTGAGCTCAAGCTATCTACTTGCCTTGGCTTCCCAGAGTGCTAGGAGTACAGGCGTGAGTCAGTCACTGCTCCTGGCAGCTACTTTTTAAATTTTCTGTAGAAACTGAGGTGTCTGTGTGTTGCTCTGGCTGGTCTGAAATCCTGGCCTCAAGCTATCCTTTGTCTCCCAGAAGGCTAAGATCAGGAGTCCTCAAACTTTTTAAACAGGGGCCAGTTCACTGTCCCTCAGACCATTGGAGGGCTGGACTTCAGGCCCCCGGACGAGTCAGCTGCTAAGCAGGACAGGCAGCGGCAGCAAGAACACCCGGGGGCTGGATAAATGTCCTGGGCGGGCTGCAGCTTGAGGACGCCTGGCTAAGATTATAGGCGAGAGGTACACTCCTGGCCTCAGTGGTTTTTAGTCCATTGGTAGCTTTGGGGGATTGGTTCCAGGACCTTCTGAGAATATCAAAATCTGTGGATGCTCAAGTCCCTGATGCAGAATTGTATAATATTTGCAGATAAGCTATGCACATTCTCCTGTATATTTTAAATCATCTGTGGATTTAAAATCTATAGTGTACATACTATGTAAATAATTGTTACATGTGTCATTTAGGGAGTAATGACATGGAAGTAAAAGTCTATAGATTGTCAATTTTTAAAAATATTTCCAATCTCCAATTGTTAGAATCCATGAATTTGGAAGTCAGGGATACAGAAGAATGACTGTATATTTTAAGTTGTGCAACCATTACCATAATTTTAGAACATTTTCATCTCCCCTAAAAGGAACCCTTGTTGCCCATTAGCAGTAACTCTCCATTTCCCCCCCAGCACTATTAGTCCTCAAAAGTCACTGATCTTCTTTCTCTCTCTCTAGATTTGCCTGTGCTGGACTTTTCATATAAATCAAACTACATAATATGTGGTCTTTTGGAACTGGCTTCTTTCACTTAGCATGTTTTCAAAGTTTATGTATGTTATAGCATTGTGTCAGTACTTCATTTTTATTTCTGTGTAAC